CGCAGCCGTGTGAATCAAATATTTATGGCTATAACTAAATTTTTAAGCCCAATAAATTATTCATACATGTCAAGCTCTGTTCGATTTTTTCAGGGCATGTGGCCGTTTTTAGTCGAAAATATTTTTTGTGGGAACAATTTTACGTATACGTATACGGTTTAGACCGAAGTCATTCAATGATCGTGACCTAATTTTAAAAATTGAATGTCAAATTTTACCAGACATGGACCGACGTGGATTCGGTATCGTTATTTTTGGAATTAATCATTAACATTTCCTCGTTTCTCTGCTCTGTCAAAATGAGTTACCTTTGTTTTTTTCACGTAACTGTCTCATTAAAATAAAATAACATATTACATTTAGAACAAGCACCCAAAACACGTAACAAGAGGTCCCAGTTCAGTTGCTTTCACGATACAAGTGTCATACAACTATTAGATTTGAAGTGCCGTTCAGAATTTAATAATAGTTAATACTAGTTAGTTGTACGTTCACACTTTACTATCAAAACCACCATTTGACCACTCTGCGCCAGTGATCAGTGTTTGGGCGAGCGGTCGGTGTTTTCAATGAGCGAGCGAGCCAAAAAAAAAAAAAAAAAAAAAAAGACAAGACCGCATGGTCGGAAATTAAGCGTTAAGCGGTCGATGTAAAAGCGGAAGGTTGGGCGAAATGAGTACTGTATGACCATGTTTCTCCGACGAAGTCTCGACTGACAATAATGCTGACAATAGACGTTAGATAAACACGCATTGTTTGCAACTGGAAGCTTATCACCCGTTATATCAGAATCGTCAACAACAGAGTATACAGATAAGATGTTATCATTTAAACCCTTTCAAAGATAAGCAATATGCAAACGGCAGTTGTAGTCTTTTCTGCTAGCGTTTTAAAACACTGATTTGAGCGACGTTATTTCGCAATTTCGATCTTTTGTAAACCTGGGATGATGTATCAAGGTCTAAAATGAACGTTTTATCATTTTTTGAAAAATCAAGAAAAAAGTGAAAATTTCCCTTCTCGCTACCTTAACAGATGAACGTTTGACTTCACAAATTTCACATATTTTAATGATTAGCAATTGTAACTAGAACAAGATTTCGAGTGTCTACAATAACAATTCCTAAGGACTCCTAAACAATATTATCACAGAGAAAGTGTCTAGGCATGCTCTTCTTTCGATACTATCTTTTCTGTTGGTGTTCGCCGATGTCCGGTGGTCAAAAATGTCGACAGTTTCGGGCGCGAAACCCACGCACTGACAATAGTACCATTGCATAATGCAATCGTCACAAGCAATCCTTGATTAAGTCTCATTACATTACAAATACAAAATTCTTCAATCAATGTTATATCTGACAATTTTCCATTAAAGTTCGCCAAGATCTCCAGAAACAACAGCATTCAAACTAGACGCCATTTTCAATATTGTACATGCGAAGTTCGACTATCGCTTCCGAACATGCTCCGAATATTACCGAATGTTCGAGATTAGCATAACCCATTGTACGAAGGTGCTAAAAGCTAACAAGAACAATGTTTGTGAACAAACATTGACAAACGATCATGGGGTAAAGCTAAAACAATAGCGTCGTGGCTCCTTCCGTTAGTACCTTCCATGGTGCGACGACCACCGCCCTTTAAATTTTAAACGAAAGACTTCGATTCAGTTTAAGTTTATTATTATATTTATAACGAACGTGGTTTTATGGAAAGAATTTTGACTTTTAGGTTTCTCTCGCTGAAGGGGTTTCGATGACAACTGTTTCCCACAAACGTCCCAAATCACACGCTTAACATACCACAAAGGACCGTCCAATGATAGAATCTTCGCCAACCAGCGATGCTACATTGTCACGCATAACAATTTTCACATTCCCATCATCATCGCTCTGAATATTACCAAGGTCACCAACATGGCTGAAAAAAAACAAATTTGTTATAGTGTTATCTCTAGAATTATCGGACGTCAGTGTCATTGAGTAAATTGTCCGTTTCTATTGCACCTACCGCTCAGAGTCTTGTGGGGCACCGTGCCATTTACCGTACGGGTTATAATGACCCCCTGTATCGTCACATCCCGTATCACCGATGTATCCATAGGAATGTACATGGAACGCATGAAGAGCTCGACTGTCAAAGCCTGACACATCAAGACTAATTTCAACGTCACCACCACTGGTCTGTTGAAAGAACCGACCATATAAATAACATAAAGTGCTTATTAGTAGAAACCGTTGCGCGAGCACGCACACAATTATAGTTAATTAATGGATTAATTAAAATAGGGGTTGACGTAATGTTGCATATATGTACACGCGATTGTGTAGCCGCTACATGATCAAGGCGGTGATACAATTTCTGAATCTTTCAAATAAAAACTGAATTATGGACAAGACATACAAATATGGAAATACATTTTAATTAACACAAATACTAAGTATACTGTTATATTTACCAACTGCTTGACATGGATACTTCCTTCTATTGGTCTGTATATCTCATCGTTTGAATTAAGGGAAGGATTGGGTCTCAAATAACAACCAGCATGAATATACTTTGGTATCATTCCAATGGTACAACAAGCTAAACGAGCACCTGCGTTACCAGTGGTACGACTAGCTTCTGTCCTCCACGACCTAAATCATCTGTACCAGCATGCACCTGAAACGACGTCAAATAACCGATCACATCAATGAGACAAATTTGTTTGTAATAATGTCATCTTACGCGCGGGAATTGGATCTCAAGCGACGATAATAGCACATGTTAACAACGCAAAGGTTCATGGGTAGAAGGTTCATGGGTATAACGAAAATGTATATGGATGCAGGGACACAATCAGTCGTTGACGTCATCATACTGAAATATCGGTCTGATTTACACATAGGTACATCGTGTTTTATTGCACAACATGTGACAGTTTCTCGTCTAATCGGCATGGTGTTTCCGAAATAAAAAAAAATGGCTACGCATATTACAAAAAATACTAGTAACTCAGACTTGGTGCTTTGTGTCTCAGTCAAGTAGATCGGCATTTAAACGCAATGTCAAATATATCAAATTCGAAATCATAAACACTGATAGGCAATGCTATTATTGTTGGACCACATGGTTAAGATTTCCAAGTTATATTTTATGTGAATATTCTTGAAATGTCATTGCATAATAACTATTGTCTGTGTAATTGTTGCCTTTTTAAGTCATGGAATGAAATGCTGAATACTTACGACAAACGATCGTCCGATGACAGAATTTTCTTCTATCAATGATACCACGCTGTCACGAATGACTGTTTTCACATTACCATTCTCGTCACTCACAATGTTACCAAGGTCACCGACATGTCTGAAAATACATTAATTCTCACAAACTTTCTGTCACGAAACTCTGGAAACGTTATTATCGAATTCCAACGGATTTTACAAGCACAGAAAAAAAGGTCTGTCCAATCTTTTTGTTAGAATTGAATTGTTGACATTACATAACCTCAAGGCTAACACACATAAGAGCTGTGGACCTATACAGAAGTGCACGTATAATTATGAAACATGATACTGTAAATGAAATAGATATTGTATAATATTTACAAAAAACTACTTCCCCGATCTAAAATGAAAATCAATGAGTCTCTCTAATTGATCAGTTGTTTCTATAGTTGCAGTACGACAAGGTTCATTTGTGGTTCAAATTTGTTGACATTGGCAGTGGACGGACTAATTAGCTAACCCAAGATGAATGGCTGGTGTCAGAATGCCGAAAATGCAAAACGCATAGCATTGTTATAAATGCTCGTATGAGCCCATGCTAACCCCTTTTCACGCACAGATGTGCGTATAAGTTTTAAAAAATGGTGGTCGTCAGGCATGTGCGAGATTTGTGTTGATAAACTTATCTTCCCACAGTTCAATGCAACCCAGAATAAAGTATGGACGTGAGTTTTGATCTGTAAATGATGTGCACTGAATACAAACTATGACTCCGTAGAGTACTCAAATACATTCTAATCATCCAATGAATTATATAGTTAAAAATTGGCGTTGTCTGTTTTTGTACGCGCTTATCTGCGCAATAATCATCGGGGGTGGGGTCAAACACCGCGCATGCGTGGCGTGAGCGACGACAACAGCCCTTCAAAATACAACCAACAAGAATGCTTTATTGCCAGTATTGTAAGGATTATGGAAATAAGAATAGATAAAACATGGCGGCAGTAGTACTGGTTTATAAAGCGGTCAAGAGAATATCCCCTAAAGACAATTTTAATCGTTATTGCAAGAATTCTGAATGTGACGATACAATATTCCCCGTGCAAATGAGAATACACTATGGAGCTTTTCATTCGTACTGACAGTTTGTTTTAGCAAATATGGGGGAAGTGTTAAAATGCGGCAAATATAGGAATTGTAGTGGACAGACATTTGTGCTTGAATACTTAAAAAAGAAAAAAGAAATACAAGGTATGTCATATATGTTTAAAGTCCGAACCTACGTACCGTTCATTGTCCGACGGACTCCCATGCACATTGCTAAACGGGTTATAATGACCCCCTGCAGCACTACACCCTTTGCCTCTATCATTATATCCATATGTATGAATATGAAATCCGTGATGTGAATTTGTGTTGAACCCAGACAAATCCAGAGTTATTTCCACTTCACCGCCGGTACTCTAAATACAAGTATAGTTGTGTTGAATAAAAAAAACGTATCGTCATTACGTCACTCCCCGTAAGAATCACGCCACTTAAGATGTGTTGATAACACACAGTGTGACGCATTATATATGTTCTTGCAGTTTGATACCTGTATCTGCCTGAAAGTCTAAGATTATTTTTTCAGTCCAAATTTGACCCATTCCGAGCAATTTTATTTCTCGTTTCCGGCGAAGAGATTAAAAGATCAATTGTGGAAAATTTAAATGTTTAATCCATTGTATAAGTAAATATATGACACACACCAGCAGTAAATAACAGTAGTGTGAGAGAGGTATACCTAATATCTTGAGTTGGAGAACATTGGGGTTACTATCGAAGAAGTCAAAATTATATGAATACATATGCCTACCTTTTGTTTGATTTCTATTATACCTTCAATGTTTTTTCGTAAAGCGACATTGATACCACTAGGATTGGGTCTTATATAACAACCACCGTATATATACCCTAAAGTACATGCATTTATTTTGAAAAAAGAAAAGAAATAATAAACTGTTTGTAAGTGTCCACAGTTTCTCTAATTAAACCAGATTATTACTAATTTATAATATTGACCAAATCTTTATTCTACCTGTAGCTTCAGCATTGGTTTGGGATGTTGTAGATCCGGTATATGTTATGGCAATAACCTCTCCAATTGCTGCAATGTCAAAAGTAATGCGTTACATAAACAAACACCGACGCGTAGGTAGACATCATAACATGTGATCTAAGTTCATTATGTTAATACGATTAATATAGCAATGATTCCTGATCTTTGATTCTCTCCAGCATCTTAACCACACTCATTCCTTATATAGCAATTCACTCTTGTAGCGTTCGAGATCTTTGTTCGAATGAAATTGTTATGCTGTCAAGTCAATGTCAGAAAACATGTGCAAGAAAAGATTGTGTTTAACTAATTTGACTTAGTGGTAGTAGAATGCAAATCAACAATCAATGTGGAAACCTACCAGAACCAGCAATGAGGAAGGCTACATAGAGAACCGCGACAATGTTCGCCATTTTTGTATCAACGCAGAACAATGACAAGACTGATTTCTGAACACACGCCAGGTTTATCTCCCATCGGGTTATATAAATTACAAACTTTGACCCAGATTTGCGCCTATCAGAATCAGAATCATCAAAGACCCGACATTTATTCTTTCAAACTGACCTCACAATTAATCGAAATGTCATGCAAAGTAACCCAATAAGTGACATCTATAAAACGATATCTCATCAAATAAATCTGCGTTGCATATTTGCACGACTGGGTCTATAAATGACGGTATCGTACTCTTGAAGTTTTTATTTCGAATGTAATCTAAAGTGAAGCAATATTAACCTCATACCACGACGTCAGGTCGATTCAGGATATATGACGACGTCACAGATTGCTGGAACTATATATCCTCATCTAAATTGCGGTAGACTGAAAACGGTTTGTATTTACATTAGGATACAGTGAACATCGTTACTTCGAGTTCTTTCATTGATTATGGTGTATACCAGGGCTTCCACAATACAAGGATGATATAACGTGCCACCTCCAGGGATTAATGAATATTTCAATAAATATTTCTAACCAGACATCAATAAACAGGCAAGATGTCGAAATGAACATGTGACCCCCCAATTATACATATGAGGTAATCGAACGGGAATATGGCCCCATTTAATTTACATATTTTTTTAATTATAGGCACCCAGAAAACACTTTTCAGTTGACGACATATTGCCTAGATATTGTAGTTTCCTAAATGAGGTCAATAACCGGGATACGAATATCATAGTGGGCGTTGGTAGCATTGTCGAAACAATCCGGATCGTAGGGGTGCAGAATTCAGTGCGCATGCCCAGTGCGCATATAATCAACTATCAGGCTTTTGTTCGAATGATTGTATTGGAGACCAGGATTTCACATGCACGGGTATGCAAAGCGCGAGTGAGCAAACCGAGTTGAAAGATGAATATCTACTTGTTCCAATAACACCATTCACACTTGCATCAGATGCAGTCAACGAGTACATTTTCAAAAATGTTTGGTATTTATGTTTGATCAACAGTAACTTAATTTATGAACATTATTAAGGCTTAATTTAATTTGGAGGGGAAAGGTCAATCTGTTCGCAACTCCCCTCCCTCTCAACCAAATTAAATTGCCCTCCCACTGTTTTTTGCTCCAACTGCCCTCTCCCCGCTCAGTTTTTGTTCCCCGCTGTTTTCTCCCCACTGCCCTCTCCTCACTCAGTTTTTGTTCCCCGCTGCCTTCTCTCCACTCGGTTTTGCTCCCACTACCCTTTCCCCACTCAGTTTTTGTTCCCCATGACCCTTTTCACCGGCAACACTCTTTATTAAGAGAGTTGTACCCAAGTTCAAATTTTGCACTTTTGAAAAATACAATGTACAATCAGTGATTTTGCCCTTACCCGCTAAATCTAAAAATGGAACTTGCCTGCCCTCTGAATAAAAATCTTCTCCTACTGGAATTCCCCTCTGAGAAACCCTATTTTTAATTCCCTTCCACTGAAGATGTTTTATTTTGCCTGCCCGCTAAAAATCCCTTGCGAACACATTTTCTCACGAACAGCTCCGTTGACTGCACCTGTTGCATCCATTGACAAACACGTATACTGTAATATTCACCAATTGCTTGACATGGATACCTCCTTCTATTGGTCTGTATATCTCATCGTTTGAATTGAGGAGATGATTAGGTCTCAAATAACAACCAGCGTGAATATACTGTGACAATAACCCAACGACTACAGCAAGCGAAACGAACCCCGCGTTGCTAGTTATATGGCTTTTTTTCCACCGTGACGAACCAAGTCTCAAACACTATTATGCACCAGGAACGATGTGAAATTATTACTGTGGACTACATGAATAAATGGGATTCGGTGTTGGATTTCTAGTTTTAAAATTAGAAATACCGCAACAAGGAGTTTACGCCCCCCCCCCCACGTTTTATTTCCTGCATCGATGTCACGCTTCGATGAGATGTGTGGTAATAAGCAACGCAATATGGTAAAAGCGTTTATTGTTCGGCCACTTGGTTATGATTTCCAAATTATATTTTATGCGGTTGAGTTTAATTAACTTATTCAGTGTTATAACATTGTCCCCCATTTTCTTGGTCAAGCCGATTTTTTGTATTCCCAATTTCAAGAATTACGGTAATTTTATTAAAATTTTGGTAATTTTCTGGGAAAAAATGACAATTTTGGAGCTAGAAAGCGCCCCCAACGTCGACAATTTTGGGGTCAAGTTTTTAACTGGCCGAGAAGCACTCCCACCCAAAATCCAGAAACAAAACTTGGGCATATTTTTTGCTTACCTGTTTCTTACTTGTTGCCGCTGCAACAGAATGCGAAGATGATCAAGTGGCTCCAGCGTCAACATTACAATATTCAAAATGGAAATACATGTTAGGGGAGACAGACATAACACTGGGTGACTCGAGTTAATATAAATGTAGCAATGCAATACAACTCCAAATGGATTGAAAGAAACTTGAGTATGACACATTTGAACCGAGCCAACACACTAATGACTGATTGGGCGTGTCACGCTATGACTGTAATGTTAATGATATAATAGCTAACGAATGCTTAAGTTGTAATCCGAATACCATCATTTCAAATAAATTCACCCTATAACCCTAGGTCAATAGGTTGTTGAAGGTCCTTGCTCCATGAATTAATCATCTTGATTGGCTCGGGTGTGGACGTGTTTGTGATCACCTATTGCTCAAAACTCTCCTTCGATTTGTGCCTAATATGAGATAAATACAAATGTACGTACAGCCTTTTTCGATATTCAGTAGTTTTAATGAAACAATGTTTAATTTCAATAATTTTCAAAGTGCATTGTCAAATTAGTGAACGATCACTTACGTATCGTTGCGCACCCCCTCCATATATACACACATGTTATTTTCACGCACTGTAAAGAGGGAAATATTCACAGGTTCTATACAGTTGTCTCGATTCTTTATATTAAAATAAAATTGCACCTAGCAGTTTGCATTTCCCACTAATATAAACGCAAGTTTGTAAAATGACTTCCCAGAAGACATGTTACATGGTAGAAACGTGGTAAAATCACAGCCGATATTCAATATATACGTTCAATACTCAAGATACAATTTATTGAGATTCTGCAAGTATTTTTGTAAGTATTCTGTTGCGTTACGGGGCTGGTATCATCCCAATAACACAACAAGCTATGCGGGGACCAGCATTGCCAGATAGACGACTTTTCTCATTATCTGCCCGTCCTAGGTCATCCACTCCGACATGCACCTAGAATTAAGAAAAACGACCATGAGAATAATATAATTGCATACATTATATTTTTTTTTTTTGGTGATTCGCGGTGACGCGGCTTTCGCCATTTATTCATTCCCATTTATTCACTCATTATATACATACAATCCTGACAATCGAATTCCCACTCAGCGAATGAACACTTACGTCAAATGCGCGACCCAATATGGAAGGGGAACCAACTAACGACACCACGTCATCGCGAATAACAGTTTTCACATTACCATTCTCGTCGCTTTCAATGTTACCAAGATCACCGACATGACTGTAATAAAATATAAGCAATCAACTACATAGATATACCGTGGTTAGGACGAGACTGCAAGTCATCTGCATGGCAATTGACTTTGACATTGTGTGTTATTAGCCATGATATTTCATACTCACCGTTCTGGTTCCCCTGGACCACCATGTCGATCACTATATGGATTATAATGACCACCAATTGCTTTACAGCCAGACACGGCATCAATGTAACCATACGTATGCACGTGAAACGCGTGCCGTGAATTGGAATCAAAGCCTGACAAGTCGAGTGTAATTTCGACTTCACCGCCAGTACTCTGCAGACAGAATTGATTAATTACTTATTATAAGCTGTTCAAATCACATAGTTTGACTTGCCTCTTGCAGTTAAGCAATTTTGGAAATGACGTGCGAGGCGGAAAGACACAGAAATCGTATTTAGAGCTTAAATTTCAATAACTACGATAAATAAATTCAATCCAATAAAAATATACAGGAATATTCACCAATTGCTTGACATGGATACTTCCTTCTATTGGTCTGTATATCTCATCGTTTGAATTAAGGGAAGGATTGGGTCTCAAATAACAACCAGCGTGAATATACTTTGGTATCAATCCAATGGTACAACAAGCTAAACGAGCACCTGCGTTACCAGTGGTACGACTACCTTCGTCTCCTCCACGACCTAAATCATCTATACCAGCATGCACCTGGCGAGTAAATGATAGACAGTCTTTCACGGTGATATAGAAACACGAACCGTTAATATTTTATTAGTATTCTGGAATACCGGTAGATTGATAATATCCAAAATTCCATAAATTCAAAATTGCAAAAAAACTGCATGTGAAAGTTGGTATCGTAAAGTACACTGACTTGCGCGAGAAAATTACCCTCAGTACTACTATGGAAATTCGAAAATGTGTCACTTCGATTTCTAAGTTCGACAAAGTACAACAATACCGCAAAACTAGGAAATGTGTGTTATGTTTACCCAACACCTGTGTTATGTTGTAACACTACGGCCGCCGGAAGTATACGTGTATACTTACGACAAATGATCGTCCAATAATAGAATCTGTTCCAATTAGAGATGCTACGTCATCACGAATAACAGTCTTCACATTGCCATTCTCATCGCTCTCAATATTACCAAGATCACCCACGTGACTGTAAAATAACAGCGTCACTTCATGAAATATATGCAAAACATTATGTCAATGATGCAATTTCTATATATCAATATTACATAATTACATAATCATAATTATCTTACCGCTCATCGTCTTTCGGGGCACCATGTGCGCGATTGCCAGGATTGAAATGACCCCCTGCAGCGCCACATCCTCTCCTACTATCGATATATCCGAACGTGTGTATATGAAAACCATGAGAAGAGTTGGAATTAAAACCTGACAAGTCAAGTGTTATATCCACTACACCACCGCTTATCTGGCGACGAAAAAGTCATGGTTAATTTGTAGTTAAAAATGAACCATTAACTCTGGATGAGGAGATTTTAAAACACCTCGATACGTCATGTTGCAAGAAAATAAAATAAAAAATAACATGTAAGAATGTATCCATATCCTCTTTGAGCACAACATGTCTGTCATTCTCGTGAATTCATCAAATAGCACACATAGTCTAACTTACCAGTTGTCTGGCTTCTATATAGCCTTCAATTGGTCTATTAATGTCAGGGTCGATATTTTGGACGGGGTTCGCTCTCAGGGAACAACCGGCATACACATACTCTAATTGAAACGTTAAAATAAATATATACATGTATTTATACATAACCACATAATTTTAGGGTCAATCTGGAATTCAAAGCATATTCAATAATATTTAACTATAGAGATCAGCCA